ATTGATTTTTACGTTCTCTGTTAAACTGTGCGACCAAATTTTTTACTTTTCTTTTTAATTCGTCGACAGTAGTATCAGTTTTCATCGCAATTTCGGTCCAAGCATCATGCACTGTATTTCAGCACTTATGACTTTCACTTCGTGGATTCCACAGACACTTTTTCACGGTAGAGTTCAATCAATAATATAATTCTGTCATTTGTCCAAGTCATTATGACAAAAACCAAATTAATTAACTTTTTACTTTACTTAATAAATTGATAAAAAAAATATGACCAAAAGCACTGAATATAAAAACTATACGYTATAGAAACACGTGGCAAGCGGAAACACGCCGCTGGAACTTCTCGTCCATCCGAAGATGGACGAGAACTGACTAAAGGATGAACCCACATTTTCCTGTTGATCTTTTTTTTCTTTTTTATTAACAAATGGTAACCTAAAAACAAAATAATGTTTTCATCTGCCACGTMTGCCATGTCTGACATGTTATCACACACTGAAGAATTTTTGTTCAAAACGCCAAGTTGAGAAATATTGTGCGGTAAAATAACGATAGTGTGTTCCTAGCATAAATGTCGAAAATTACCAAAAACTGTGGGTTGTTTTTTTTTTTTACCACCCGATTATTGAGTGCACACGCTTAACTCGATAACTTTGATTAATCAAAAACCAAATTATTTGAARACTATAGTTAATCGATTACTCGAAACCCGATTTTTCAAGTATGGACTAATAATGTATGTCTTTGAACAATTATTTTTATTCTAAAGAGTAATATCTATATAATATTCTATATATGATTTATRTTATAAATATTATTATTTTGTATTATATCAAATATTTAATCTCATTAAAATTTTCGTAGGTATTCAATTTTAAATTAACTGTACAGTGTTCACATTTCTTATAATAGATTGTAATTAATAAAGAACATAGATTTACCCCGCTGAAATCGACTAGAATTCATCTACAGATTCTCAGTCTACCAATTATTGTAATTGCTATAAAACCATAAATCATTTCGATTCGGGTACACACTTTATGGTATACTATTATMGTCACTAAAATAGTTAGTGCGATAACTGTAATAAATAATAATATGACACCTAGTAAATTACGTAAATAAATGTTCAATAACGAAGAATCAAACAATTAAAGGTGATTAAAATTTAAAGATTTAGAATAATTATTTTAATTAACATCGACAAATTTTGTATTTTTTTAATTGGATAAGTTTAAAAAAATTAGATGAAAATACCTAAAATTGATAATAAAACGTAGATGAAAGAACTCTTTACTCAATTCACATATTAGATTGTGAATAAGTACCTTACCGTAAGAGAACTACGAATAATAAATATATATTATTCTATAATATAATTAAATAATACGTATTTTTTTAATATAGTTAGAAGATACATACCTACCTACGTATTATAAGAGCGGATCCAGCGAAATCGTTGAGGAGGAGGCTCCSCTCCTGTAGTCATAATTTTCGATATTATAATATGGTGAATTTGTTGTAATATATTTATTTTTTTAATATACAATATACAACAAAAACATTTTAGAAATACGGACTTGGGAGGGGGCCGCCCATGACGTATAAAAATGGTGTTTTACATACGAATTATTCATTGATTTGTTAAAAATTAAATTAATTTAATTTATATAAGCTTCATTTTACTAATTAAAAAATTAAAACAGTAAATAATTATTTTAATTAAKCTTTGTGAATCATAAAATAAAATTAGAAACTAACTGAAAATAAGAAATATTTTTATTAATATGAAATGAAAAACTATAAATATGGTACTAAAATAGCATGATGAATATAAAAATATGACCAAAATTATTGTTTGRTCTTTTTAACGTTATTTTTTAAATTTTTTCATACTTGTATATTTTTCGTATGTTGGACTATACAAAAATTGTTTGTTTTTTTTTCTTAATGTTCTTTATTGTTAGCTATGAACATAACTTGTGTACATAATCATTTTACAGAGTATAGTCCAGATTAATATAGAAAACCCATTGTAGGAATTCAATTTTACTATTTATCTTTTAATTTAACTCTTAATAGATCAACGAACTTTAGACTTATCGAAGTGCATTTTTATAATCAYATTTAGTTGATTAAATATTTACGTTCAAAATGTAAAATTGTTCAAAAATGCATTAAATATAATATGTTAAACAGTCGGCTGTCTTGTCCGTCTATCATATAGGTATTCGCTTTAAAAAAACACATTTTATATAGTTTATTTTTTTACTTTTTATAGCTCCAACTTCCAAATTTTACTTACATAGTGTCTTGATGTTATGATTTTGATTTAGTGAAGATAATATATATAATATATATAAATCTTCGTTGCGAGGAAACTAAAACATATTCCAAAGATTATTTTTGCKATATTATTTAAATGTAATTCAGCCTGGCATCAAGGTATATACCTACATTATTTTCATGCGTATTACATATATTTTGTGGTCAACCAAATCATTCACATGATGGTCGGACATTTTCATTATGTTAAACTTCGGGTTTCGGTGATATTTATGGTTTTCCTAGTCTGCTGTCATTGCAGGATACTCTACAGGACGAATGCCGCGGGTGAATTTGAATTGAATACTAACCAACACGGTAGAAATTATATACAAGTAAGTACAAGTAAGTACGTCATATATATTTTGCAAATATATTATCAATATATTATCTCAATAATCTGTAGTAAACTCTTATAAAACGACTAGATAGTAGATATAAATATAAGTTGATAGTAGGTACCTAGAATATTTTTTTTTACTTTAGATAATACCTAGTTGGTTGTTATGAAATAAAATTTATTCTTTTTGATCCTCTTTAAATTTAGTTACCGGGCCGCTAAACCAGTTATTTTCGTCTCGACCAATGATCACTTAAAAAAATATATATATACAATAATTATCAACCCACCATCATCACCATCGGGTGATATATTTTATACACCATAAMGATAATTGCTTTCAAATAAAAGTAGGTAATTAGTAATAATAATAATAATGTTATATTGATTATTTTCGATAATAGTGCATAGTTAGGTTACAATTAATACTTCGTAATAAGTAATTACACGTAGGCGATAGGTCAAACGTAAAAAAATATTTTTGAAATAAATAATAATGATTATTAAATAATTACTTATATATATATATATTATATATGTTACATCCACATAGTGAAACCACTCATTTCATGAACTGGATATCCAGATACTGAACTTTGTCCAGTTCATGAATTTTGACGAAAATTACACTTTGTGTAATTATTATTTTATTATAACTATATATAGGTAATTTTCTATATTGTCGTAAAAATATAGCAATTATTATAGTCAATAAATTATATTATATTACATCATATTTTTATTTTTCAAAAACCATTCTTCTGTTAATTTTTTCAATAGATCTCTAGATCAGATGGCAAATTGTATGTACTGGTCCAATTTTTGAGTCGAATAAAGTCTTATTAGGACTAAGTTCAATTATTCGATAAAATTAACTATTAATTAACCAGGAAAAGATCTAAGTGACCCAAATAGTTACCGACCAATATCATTGCTATGCCACACCTATAAATTATATGAGAGAATGGTCATGAACTGCATTAAAACCCAAATAGACAAAATGCTGATACCGGAACAAGCTGGCTTTAGACCAGGCAAGGCCTAACCTGTACAGGTCAAGTACTCAACATATGTCAACACATAGAGGACGGTTTCGAAAACAAAAAGATAACGGGAGCGGTTTTCGTTGACCTACAGCGTACGATACGGTTAACCATAATAAATTGCTACAAAAAGTGTATCACTATACCAGGGACTGGAAATTTGTTCAAATAATTGCTTCACTACTACAAAACCGTCGATTTACGGTAAAGCTGAACGATAAGTGGAGTAGATGGAGAATCCAAAAAAACGGTTTACCACAAGGCAGTGTGCTAGCACCAATGCTTTTTAATCTATACACAAACGACCAACCTACCCCGAGAGACACGAAACACTTTTTATATGCAGACGATCTAGCAATCAAAGCTCAAGATACAACCTTCGACGACGTAGAAAAGAAATTAAYAAACGCGCTTAAAGTGATGACCAACTACTATGACAATAACCATAATTAAAACCAAATCCAAACAAAACACAGGTATGTTGCTGCCACCTACGAAACCCTGATGCCAAGAAACACCTTAATATAGAATGGCTGGGAAAAACGCTGCACAACACAGACTACCCCGTGTATCTTGGCGTCACCCTAGACAGGACATTGACATTTAAGGAGCACTGTTYGAAAACTAAAATGAAAGTGCAAGCAAGGAACAACCTACTTAGAAAACTTGCTGGAAGCCAATGGGGKGCACGACCTCACACCATGCGAACAACAGGAATAGCCCTATGCTTCTCAACTGGAGAATATGCGTGTCCAGTGTGGAGCCAATCCAAACACGCCAAAAATGTATCTGTAGCTCTGAACGATACCTGTAGAATCATAACGGGATGTCTTAGACCAACGCCTAACAAGCTGTATAGCTGTATACCTTCTAGCAGGCATAGCTCCACCTGAAATTAGAAGACGAGTAACCACCGATATAGAAAAAACCAAACAGATAAAGGACGAAAGACATCCCATGTTCGGACATAAAATCGTGAACACAAGACTTAAATCCCGAAAAAGTTTTATGCAAACGGAAAAAGAACTGCACGAACCCCCCCAAAAAAGCTAGATTGCAAAGGTGGCAAGATGAGCTACAACCGGAAGAACTGACTCAGATTACACAACAACTCCCAATGGGTGGACACCTTCCATGGCCATTATGGAAAACTCTTAATAGATTGAAAGCCGGGGTGGCGAGGACGAAAGCTAACATGGTAAAATGGAAATTTAATGGAGAAGATGACACATGCGACTGTGGAGAACGACAGACCGATGAACACCWTTTGYVATRTACCATGATTCCAGCACAATGCGCCAGGGAAGATCTGATTYYGACAAAYACAAATGCAATAGAGGTGGCCGCCTACTGGTCGCAACACAACATATAGAAAGTTACCAAAAATGTGATTTACTAGACGTACCAAATTAATTTATTATTTAATTTTATTATTATTTGTATTTTATTTGTTGTAATTATTTTATATAATTGTTATTGGCATTTTTTTATTATCGGACACGACAAGAAGAAGAACTATTTTTTTGGAATTGAACAAAATTTATTCTAACGCTCCACCTCTTAGATTTATTATCAGCCATCCATGCTCGTCACGTCAGTTACCACGGATATAGATACTATGGTTGCTCATCGGCCTATATTGGATCACAGCGTTGAGCGGCACCGAATGTTCTTATCAAATCTGACGAAAAGTCGCGTTTAACTAGCACCCTCTACAGTAATTATTATTCAACTCTTGTACCAAGTTACCATACCTAATCACAATAATAAATTAGCAATAAACAAATAAATAAAAATATTGTTCGTTATTTATTTTCTTTAATTTATTCAAAATTATAAAAGCGGGTAAGTGGATGTCGCTCTGCTGTACATTAGGTGGTGGGGTGGACCTCTGACTAGGGTAGGTTAGATTTGAATA